CTCTCTCACAAACGTAAACATCCGGGCTAGAGGTCACATGACTTCCGGTAAGAAAGCTCTTAATCATTTTTTGACAAAATAAAATTCTAGCATACATCAAGCACAAAACAATAAATAAGGGCACTTTGAGCGTCAGCTATTTGATCCTATCTTATCTTCTACTTTACACCTGCATTTTGTACACTGTCCCTGCCTGCACCATGTCCAATGTTGTCTCTGTTGACAACCTGCTAGTAAACACATTCCTAGTATGTTGTAAAACTACTTGGCTTATTTCTCCTATTAGGAAAGAGGACACGGGATGACCGCTTCCTGGACACCATCATGGTGATGGATGACCGGCGTGCCTTGGCCAGCAAGGAAAATGAGGACCGGCATGCCATGGCCACCAAGGAGATGCACAACGAATGGCTGCTGCATGCACACAAGGCCCAGGAATCGCAGGACCAGCATCTAAAGGTGATGGCTGACTCGGCGGCGCGCCGGGTGGAGGTGGCGGCGCTCCAGGTGGAGGTGGCGGCGCTCCAGGTGGAGCAACAAAATAGCTTTCAGGCTGGGCTTCTGGGAGTGCTAAGCGAGCTGGTTAAATCCAACAGGCCTCCAATTAAAAAGAAAAGAAAAACTTGTCGTCGTTAGTAAACTATACAATGACTTGTTGGGAGGCGTGTGGCGCAGTGGCTGAGTGCGTTGGTGTTCGGATCAGGGGAGCACAGGTTCAAACCCCACTGCAGTCAGCATGTCGTTGTGTCCCTGGGCAAGACACTTCACCCCAAATTGCCTACATCTGGGACAGTACATTTTGTATTATTATATATATATATATATGCCACTGTTATTAATACTGACACCTAACTTTGCACTAAGGTGTGTCTGCTGCTGAGTCTATCCCCACATCTGGGACAGTCAATTTTGTATTATAATATATATATATATGCCACTGTTATTAATACTGACACCTAACTTTGCACTAAGGTGTGTCTGCTGCTGAGCCTATTATTGTTATTTTATATATATATATATATATATATATATTGCCACTGTTATTATATTGTTTTGATACTACTGACACTTATTGATCTGCTGCTGATAAATAAAAGAGAACCTACATGGCGATTAAACAGAAAATGTATCTTGCTTATTTCTCCTGACACTTTATCTTTATGGTGACTTGTGTAGCATCCTATACATCACATGTAAGTGATTATTCTGATACCATCATGACACCATGAAAATGGCGTCCATCAACACAAACACTATTTATAGAAAGATAAATGGTTAAGTTTGTAATTAACAGTGTTGTGAGTTCAATATTTTAATTAATTATAGTAAGGGAACATCTTAGGTGTTGGTGTACTGAGTTCCTCTCAGGAGGATATATAATAAAGGTGTGTTAACTGCTGAGCCTATTTACTGTGCAATACTTTTTTCCATAATCACAGTTTTAATCATTTAGATTTGTATGGACCTCTAAAACACATCTGCCACATCATTTGAGTTTTGACATACCACAACCAGCCAGCCAGTCTTAACTGTGATTGTTATCCTATTTCTTTTGATTTTGATGTCAAAAATGTTCTTTGAAACTCAACATTTTAAAGGAATACTTTTACATCCTGGGAAAAACACTCACTTACTTCCTGTCAAGAGTAAAATAACAAGATCTGTCTGTAAGATAAAAGACTATAGCCAGGACGCAATAAACTCAAATATAATAGAAACAGGAAGTCTAGGAATGATAATTTATAGAATATCTACAGGAGTATTTCTTAGTGGGTGACTTCACGGATCTTGACACAAAACCTCCTGTAAAACACCAAAGTACACTTTGTTTTCTTGTACAATTAAACAAACATATTACTTCGATAAGCTTCGATATACGTCTCCTGGCTGGAGCTTCATAGCAAACAGACATGTTAGTGGTATTATTTCTTATCTAACTCTTTCATATGGTCAGACAAATCAGAAGTCATTTAAACTTAATTTGAGATTTTGTTGTTCTTTTTTTGTTTCTCAATTGATTTTCCAGAATATGCACCTATAGGAATAGACTTTATATCACAAATAAATGAATGACATGTACTACAGTAATTGATTATATTGATATTGCCTACTCAGATATAAATGTGTATAAAATTAAATCAATTCAAAGTTTCTTGCTGCTTTTAATGCAATTCATGGCTGCAGGGCACACGTCCAAAATCCTTATTCTACAATCATTTAATCAAGACACTTGTGTATATTTTACTTTAATTTGTAATAAACAAAAAAATATGAATGGTTGTCATCATTGGTCATTATTACTTAGCTATTTAAAGTACTTAAAAACTATTATAAATATTGAAAAGTCATGACTGATGAAGTGCATTGTTCTGCTGACAGTATTTCTACTCAGTATTTCACCTGTATGGTGCGGTTCTGGGCGACAACACAGTGAAGATGATCTGCTGCACGGCACTAGCATCATGACTGTCTTTGTTTAAACCAGCAGCAGTGCAGCGGTACACAGACTAACCTGTGTGTGTGTAACGTAGTTCTTCAGGTGTGTATGCATTTATCACAGTAAAGATGGTTTACAAAAGCTTTTTTAAGAGCCTTCAACCTCATCCCATTGTCTTTAACACACATTTAACATAATAATATACTCATATTAATATACAAATATACAGTATGAGTACTGTTTTGATACTGACATTTTATCTTTGCACTAAGGTGTGTATGCACTATTGTAATTTTGTCTGTTGACTGGTAAATAAAAGAGAGAACCAAAAGCACTGTACAAAAGATCAGCTTTATTGTCAATTTACAATTTCCATGCTGTTCAGATGCCTCATAAGAGCTGTGCGCGTGTCTTGCCCCCCCAGCCTCAACAATGTCTGGCGCTGGCCCATCAAGCTGGGTTGCCAGTAAGGCAGTCCATTCCTCCCTGTACTCATCACCACGACGCTCACACAGGTTATGCAATACGCAACATGCTGCCACCTGGATTTTGATATTGTCCATGTTGCAGTCGTTTCGCTTCATCAAGCACCGCCATCTGCCCTTCAGTCTGCCAAAAGCGTTCTCCACCACCACTCGTGCTCGGCTTGTTTTGCGGTTGTACACATGTTGCTGGGGTGTGAGCCTTGCATTGTCTTGGAAAGGTTTCATCAGCCATCTTTGCAGGGGGTAGGCTGAGTCACCAAGGATATAGTAACCCACATCATGTCCACCAATATTCCTTGTTACATGAGGAAGTAGACCACCTCTATCCACACAACTAACCAGTGATGACATGCTGAACACTCTGCTATCATGCATGCTCCCTGGTAAGCCAACAAAAACACTCCAAAAGAGGCCCTTACCATCCACAACACCCTGCAGGATGACCGAGTGCCAGCCTTTGCGGTTGAAATACTCGTTGTGGTATTCCTCTGGTCTCAGAATAGGGATGTGTGATCCATCTACTGCACCTACACACTGTGGCACACCCCATCTGCCCTCAAAACGTTGCTTCCAGGCGCATACAGAGGAGTTGAAAAGAGCCCTTGGACATTCGGAAATCTTTGATCCACTGCACATTGGTGTACGTTGGCACCACCTTCTCCCACCAGGGCGATGTTCTGTTGTTCACCCAGAGAGAGCGCGGGACACGACGCGTTCCGTAGTATTCGCATATCTGGAACACATACAAAGACACAAATTAGCCCTACATAACTCCATAAATCCTACATTAGATAGTATTAATGTGATTTACTGAACGTACCATTGCTGTTCTTTGGGCGTGATAACGGTCATCATCCTCAGCTGTCCTACGGCGAAACATGTCCATAGCGTGTGCTTGTCGTCGTCCAGTCCTTTTGTTAAGGCTTCTTAACCGCCTTCGCCTCCGAATCAGCATCGCTATTGCATTTGAATGGTCGATCTGTATTTGTGGCTGAGTTATTGGCTTAAATAACTCAGTTACGAAGCTGTGTAACACGAGCACCAAAACCACAACTTCAGTCAACTCCATACAGTGGGTGTTTCTCAATCGCGAGTAAAGCTGCTTCAGAGCCACTATTTCAAGCATACTACGTCATCGAGTGCCGCCGAAGTACTGTTCCAATCTCTAGTATACTTGGAAATCTACCGAGCCCGGCGTACTCCGTTTGGAGAAATATCGAGTCTGCACATGAGTAGACTTCGCGGCCTTAAAATCCCCACAATGCTTTGCGCACGGACCAATTTCCCCAAATCTGTGGCGAAAGATGTAAGGCGGGGCCTCTCATATGACGCACACCTGCACACTTGCTAGCCTGTTCCACTCTTCGTTTTCCGAATGCCAGGAAGTATTCTTGACTCGCTTCTGAAGCAAGATGCTCGGCAGACATGTGCTACCAAGCAAGCGTACTCGCGATTGAGAAACACCCCGTGTCTGACTGAGGTCGGAAGGTAAACAGAAGCATACAGCGGAAGCGGAAGTTTTTTTTTTTTCTTCTTCTTCTCTCGGTTTTTTGGCGGATTGCAACTTTAAGGTGCATACCGCCACCTACTGTACTCGCCGTGAAGTTGTTTGCGGCCTGCCAGTAAACCCAAAGCAGAAGAAGAAGAAGTGACGTCAGCGGCTCATTTGCCTAATCCACCCCCAGGAACTCATTTTGGTGTGAACGCGATCTGCTTTAGTTCATCAGAACTAAAAGAGCTCTCATGAACTACTGTGGGAAAAGTACTTGGTGTTACAACTATGACGTCAGTCAAGATAAGCGATTGACTGACGGGCAAAAGGCATTATTTTCTGCTTTATTTTTGTATAAATAGGCATCCAAAATGTGTAGAACTGGAAGCAGTATTAACAACAAAAAAAACTGTGAGCTCTGAAAATGCAAATATTCTCATCATATCCTTAGTCCTGTTTCAGTTGCAGAACAATACTCATCCAAACGTTGCCCTCATATAACTTTTCAAGCCCGCCACAACATCTTATAGCAACTTCAAACACATCCATTCGTTTAATGTTTAATTCAAGAAATAATAAAAAGTCATTTCATTGTTTCCATAGAGTTCTTTATTATATACAGCTATGATTAATTGGCAGTTGTGTCGATATGTGGATACAATTGGCGTGATTTTTCTTCATTCATCAGTGATTTGAAAAGTGTTTGTTCAGGTAAGCAGCAGGAGACGATCACTCTTCCCAGGGGCTCATGTCGGTGTCGATGGCCACGCAGTTATAAGCAGCGTAACGCAGCTTCTCCTCACAAACCTTTGCACTGCAGGCACAACAACAGCAGAGAAAAAGGATGGGATTGAAAAAAGGAACATTAGTGTCAATAAAAATATGTTTTCATTCATAAAAGCTCTGACCAGTTGCACAAAACACCAAGTTCACAGATTAAACTAACTTTAAGGGATTCACTAACTATAGACAAAGACAAAACCTTTGAATGCACAAGTGAACATTTGAAGGAAACCCCCAAGAAGAAGACTTTAAGGGTTTTTTGTGCAACCAATTTTATTTTAAAGAAGAAATGAGCTCACAGCTGGTGTTTAACGTAGTGTCCTGCTATAGCGCCACAAACAAGTGCACAGTAAACACAACTGTACAGTAACAGATTTAGCAGGAACAAAACACATATCAGCGTACCTTGGGTAGTTGGGTAAATACAGAGTGCTGGAACAAGTGGACGAGCGTGGAAGTGCATCAGTTGTTTCCATGCTAAATGAGAAAACAGAGATATTAATACCATATTCCTCTATTGTAACGTTCTTAAAGATCCGTTTTTGAAATCTATAATTACATTTTTGGGGATGCACTCACCCTTTATCAGGAAAGACGTAGATCGGCGCAGGAAGACGACTTCTACCGGTTACAAACCTCAGAAACCTGCTGCGATCCTCTGAAAACAGATTTTAAAAAGTCAGTCAGAGTGTTTAAATTTGTATTTTTTCAGCGTAACAAATGCATCATAACACTAGTTGATATCACAAGATGTTGAATACAGTAGATATGCTCTGTAAAATATGGAAGAATGAACAGCAAACTGACCATTGGTGAAGCTCGTCAGTGCGTCCCATAAGTACTGCACTCTGACGTCACTCATTTCCAGGTCCTCATAGCGTGCTGGTGGGGAGAAAGAAACAAAATGAATGTATTATAATTAGTTCTTTTTGGCAGTGTTTGTTCGAAGATGATCCACAATCAAACATCTTCAGCCGTTCTAAAAAAAAAATTCATAGATGATTGTACGTTGATTCTTCTAAAAGAATAATTCTGATACATAGCTAGTTTTAATAACTTTCTCTTTGGATTAACCTCCTAATAAAGTTGTTTAAATAATCTGCTTTGCTTGTTAACATCCCTTTTGACAGTTGTGATGTTACTATCACATGTTTTCCAATCTTAGAAATCACAATGTTTTTTTAACTTCATTACATTTTTAGACAGAATTTGCAGTAAACAACAATTATTCTTAAGATGTGTCTTTTTGAGCTTGTTAGCATTCTGATGTTTAGCAGGCATATAAGCGTGCTAAGATCAGCAAGTTATCACTAAGCACAACTAGAGCTGAGGCTGATGGGAAGTATTGGATGATGGCGTTAGATTAAAATTGTATAAATCACTCAAGTTATGATACTATTATAATACTCGTCGATGGTTTCTAGCATGGCACTAAACGGACGGTGTCACTGAACACTCACTGAGTCGTTTCAGGGCTTCCACAGTGATCTCAGGGTCTCCGCACACTTTCTTCTCCACTTCCTGCCAGGTGAGCATGTCCAGCACGGCCTGAGGAACGACCTTCAGCAGCCCCGCCTGCACGGCTGCGATCTGAAACACACACACACACACCATCAGGCACACACACTTCAGGGATTTAGCTTTGGAACAACTAGCAGTGTGAAGAAAGGCAGTCCCACCTGCTGCCTGCTCTCCTCCAGTCGAGCTTTCTGCACCAGGCGGACAAACTCGCTGCGTTCCTCGTAACCAACGGCAACATTACTGCCGCCGGGGATGAGCTCCACCATCTGGCCGTCGCTCAGCAGGGTGGTGTAAACCAGCTCCTCCCCAAACCTGAACTCATACGTCTCCTGGTCCATGTTCTCCATGGCGTCCAGCAGGTTCACCTAGACACAAACCCACAAGTAACTTGAGACAGTGGCTAGAAAAATCCGGATTAGTGGCTACATGAGACACGACTGTGTATTCGTTATCATTTAATGCAGAGAGGAAAGATTAAAAAGGGTGTAGCATAAAGTATGGGATTTTAACGCTAAGTGCAAGGAATGGGTAAGATACCAGCATATATCTCCTGAACTTCCCCACTCAATCTATCAAGACCCGAGCAGTTCTATTAGAAGTCCAAGGTAAGGCACGGGCCGGCGCATATCGCTCAAAGGAATCCCTCGCCATATGAACTTTGACCCTTAGAAAGTAAAAGTGAAGAGGCACAACGTGTCAGCTCCCTTAGGATAGGTCTGAGAAACAGGGGTATGAAAAGAAAAGTAAGAAACAGAGGAAGAGAGGCACAACGTGTCTACGTACATGCACTCTCCTAAAATATTAAACGAGAAAAGAGGTGAAGAAATACAAAGAAAGAAACTGAAATGAAAAGGCACCACATTGCGTAAATGCTTCCCCTTAGAATAGGGTGGAAATTATGAAAAGGGGACAGGGGACACCAGTGAAGAGGGACAACAGTGAAGAGGCACAACGTGTCTAACCTTGACGTAATTGCACTCCCCAAAGATAAAGAAAGTAAATAGTATACGCAGAGAAGCACAACGTGTCTACGTACATGCACTCTCCTAAACTAGTTCAAGGGAGAAGGGGTGAAACACTAAACAAAAAAATTGAAAATAGAAAGTAGGAAGTAGAGAGGCACCTACCTAAATAAATGCACTCTCCTAGATTAAGTTAAAGAAAATAAATAACAGAAATAGGGAGCAAAAACAAGTACAAGAGGAAAGGCCCAACGAGTCTACGTAAATACACCCTCCTAGAATAGTTCAAAGTAAACGGGGTAGGAAGAATATAGTAAGAAACAGAGATGAAAAGGCGTGCGAGAACGCTTTCCCTCTAGACTAGGATGAAAATGTAGGATAAGATATAAGGAACAGAGATAAGGAGGCAACAACGTGTCTACGTAAATGCACTCCCCTGCCTGTCTAATGGATACTTCCTTCTTTGAAAAGTGTTTGTTGTAAATTTCATATAGAACATTTTTGCTGAGTTATTAACATTACTTTCAACCTTGTTTATGAGCTTTTCTGTTTGATGTTTAGAGACACGTGTCAGCAAAAAGATGAAGACTGGTTCGGAAATAGATTTGAACTCAATGAGATCTGGGATCTGTCAATCTGAACGCGGCCAGAATTCTTAGACAAAAACACGCTGCTGGCTTTTTACTAAGCATATCTGTATTTTTATTTGATTTATTAATGTCAATAATTGATTCCCAAGACGTGTAAGACTCAACAATCTCAAAATCGAGTCTATAAAATATAGATCAAATATCAATCTCTCTCCTACCAGTGCTGCACAACTCAGTCTGCAGAGCCTACGTTTGACATTCAATGTGATCAGGTGAAATCATTTTAAAGTCCTCACCAGCACAGAGTCTACAGCGGGGAAGTCTTTGTTCCAGCTGACTGCCTCTCCGGTCAGCTGCTTCCACACGAGCCCGGGCAGCGCCAACACCTGGGGGGTCACACACAGAAGGAAATCAACTCTGAGCATACTTTTATTCTTACTTTATTGACATACAGTTTATGGAGAGTAAACCGCACTCACCAGGAAGTCTTTTCCTCTGAGGGCCGCTCCCATCAGCTGGCCGATCCACTCGTACTTGTTGAACTCTCTACAGGACGGGTTGGGGACGTAGTAATCTCTGGCTTCTAAGGAGCCCTGAGGAGCAGCAGGTGAAGAAAAACAAGTGTTGATTTATTTGTATTCAGTATTAGTTAGGGGTGGGGGAAATAATCCATACAGCATAGTATCGCGATACTTTGCGTGGCGATATTGTATCGATACACGGACGCCGAGTATCGATATTTTATTATATAAACTATTCATATTGCAAATCCAAATTAAAGTTTTTGGTAACAATTGCTTTTTCAATCCACTAGATGGTGCTGAGCTTTTTCTTGTGTGGTCATAGCCATGGGCAGGAAGTTGGTCAAAACAAAGATGGAGTCAGCGGATAAATATATATATATATATATATATATGAATATATCGTATTGCAATATTTAGCATATCGTAGAATCGCAATACTGTTGTATCGTGGCTTAAGTATCGCGATATTATCGTATTGTGGGAAGCCTGGTGATTCCCATCCTAGTATGATTCCTGTAACAATTATACTTTGGTAACATTTGTATTTTCTGTAGCTGGTGAGGGTGAGGTGTTACCTGGTTGGACGTGCGACTGAAGAAGGGCAGCGGCATGGCGCACTCGGCTGAGCTGGGACAGAGTTCCTCCGACATGTCAGCCAGGCTGTCCCGAAACCCTCCTCCCTGATCGATGATCCCCTCGGCGATGAACTTACACTCCCACCACTGGTCGTACCGCGCCGGCCATCTGGCAAACACAGAGGAGAGAGGCGGTGGATTCAGATCTCAATGGTCTTGTGATTCAGTCAAATTCAGGTAAAAAGCAAGATGAAAGGCTACAAATACACACCTGTAATCCAAAGTCTTCTCAAATTTGTCAGATGGCTTGAGGCCTTCATACACCTGCAAGGAGAACAATGATGCATTATGGGAGCTGTTACTATTGCTTTATGATTTTCAGAGACAGACAGACAAACTGAATAATATTTCCTCAAACCATAATCCCCCCCAAAGATGTTTTATGGTTCAGTATTAGCACACAAACGTACCAAAACTTCAATGACTCATTATGCAGAAAAGCCCATATTAGAACAATTCATTGGATTATAACTATTGAACGATTCATTTAGGTGTCGCTTTAATGTTGAAGCAACTAAAAGTAGGGCTTATTAATTACTGGAAGTATAAACTAACACCAAATAGAAATAGTCAAGTACTTTAAGAAGTCAAGGCAAGTTTATTTCTAAAGCAACTTTCAACACAAGGCAATTCAAAGTGCTTGAAAATGAAATACATTAAGAGAAACATATTATAAAATGGCATTTAAAAACACTTTGAACATTTAAAAGTGTACCCAAGTCCAGTACTTGAGTACATGTACTTAGTTCCTTTCCATATAGTGCGAGTACCTGATTGAGCACAGCGTTCTTGCAGCTGGGGTCCAGAGAGGGGTTGTCTCGGTGCTCCATGGCCAGCCGGCGGTTGATGTAGAGTCGGGGCATGAAGTTGGGCTTGCTGGTCTCCGAGTCCTTCAGGCACTGAGTGATGAGCGCCGAGCGCCGCTTGGACAACAGCAGGAACTGCTTTATGCTCTACAGGAGCGCAGGAGAAAGACATTTCAGAGTTATTTTATTAAGTAGAGATGCACTGAGAAATTGGGACATTATCAGAATGAACAAATAAAGCTTTTACAAGATGTATCAGCTAGTGGTTGTGGAGAGATATTTAATATTAGTGTCCAACATCAACTAAAAATATTTATAGAACTTGTAGATATTGTCAAAAGAGCATGGTAACACAAACTATAATATCTGTTATGCACTGTTTAACACTACCGTAACAGCCTTTTTCAAACAAATGTTCCTATGAATACCATTTATTTAATAAGGAAGTCACCTTGAGACTGACATATTATAATGATTAATATAATAATAACAAAACAAAGATTAGACAACAGATGTTAACCTGTTGGTCACAGGGGCACTGAAGGAATAACATGTTGCTTATTGTATACAGCGTACTGTATATGGAGAGAATAATGATAAGTGCTAATAAGAAGTGCATGAGGATATTCAATAAAACATTTATTACTTAATCTCCAAACTCTTTCAAAATGCTGTTTCACTGCAATTAAACAAAAGCCCTTTACCAGTAAGAGCAGCTACTTTGGGCTTAATTATTATTCAGTGTTTGTCTGGCATATATTAAAAGCTTCACAAAGACTCACTTTGATCTGGTTGAAAGTTCCCAGACTGTAATCCCAGGCGGGAACCAGGTGTGGGAGCACGCTGTCCAGCAGACAGATGAACCTGAGAGAGAGGACACAACAACAACATTGAGAAATGCTTCATGCTTAGAAATCGGAGGACCTGTCAAAGCATTGCATCTGACTTTTAATTTCTAACATTTAAACCACGTTGGAGTAAATGTATTGCAAAACACAGCTCATTTTGGGGATGAACATGTACAAGTGTACCTCTGTATGACGAGTGCTCTGCGGTACAGGACGTCGGGCGTGTTGCCCTGCAGGCGGGGGTAGCGCACCAGGTTGGAGGACTGGAAAACATCTGCGTTCAGACCCAGGTCTCTCTCACAGGACGATTTAATCTTCAAGCCTCGGATCCGGACATCTATGCCCTCATCTGCAGGATCAGAAACTTTATTTAAGGTTCACAAAAACACTTTAGAATCTTTTGATGTCTTCAAAACCTGGAAAAAAAGACACAAATACATAATAACAGGGTCTACTGATCAATTTCATATAGATATGGGACTTAACCAGGCCTGGCCATAATAGTATAGACATTTAATTGGAATTATTAACTTACCTGTATTTATTTAATTGAAAATAAGATGATTGATTTTCACTTGTTCCCTCTAATCCAGCGGTTTCCAACCTGTTGGCCAAGGCATTGCAAGTGGGCCGCCAAATCATTTGCAAGACATTATGATTTGTTTGGAAACATTTTCATTATTAAGATTTTTTTTAAATTTCAACCTCCCTTCCTTTCTATTTCTTGATCCTCCTTAGCAACGGTCATTACAGTCCTTGACAACGGTCTGTTCTACTGGATTTACAACGTGTCACATGTTCTGAATTGACCAATCAGAACTTTATTTAGCCTCCGTATTGTTTATGGTTGAATGTGGGCCGCGAACTGAGTTGAAAAAAGGTTGGGAACCGCTGCTCTAATCCACGCTATATTGAATTATTGTTCATTTGACTTTACAGAGAAGCCTGTTCAAAAGCCTTACCTCTACATTCCTCAATCCGAACCTCAATCACAGGCAGGTGAGCCGTCATATCCTCCAGCACACACACCTCTCCAATCAGGTTGCTGGAGGAAAATATATATATATATAACAATTATTATTATGAACGTTTTTTGGGAAATATGTTGACAAATATATATTGTTGAAGAGGCTCACTCGTCTATGGTGACGTCACTGAGCTTCTTCAGGTTGTCTCCCTCTCCTCCGTACACTGTGACTCTTTTGGGCATGTAGTTATCATCTGTGGAGTCCACCGTCAATATCAGCTTACTGGAAAAGCACATGATATACAATAAAGGCATGTCCACAAGAAGAATTCATTTGAGATGAGCTTAAAATACATCATAGATGAATGACCAGGAATTTAATCCTGTAAATCCTAAAAATACAATGTGAAACATGTAGCTGACATCATGAAACTCCTATTAAAAAGTTCAGAGATTAGATTACAACGTGTAAAATGTCAAGTCATTACAACTGTCTTTAAAGGTCCCCTATTATACTGTTTTTCATCAATATATTATAGGTCTCAGATATATACAAAACATGTCTCTGAAGTGTTTTGCTCCAAACACTAAACAGATCATTGCAGCATCCCATAATCCCCTCTGTTTCAGCCCTGTTTCAAAAGTGCTGATTCTCTGTCTGTTACTTTAGATAATAATAATAATACCTCTGAGAGATATTTGGTTAAAAAGAACACAATGGTGCTCTAGGAGGAGATTCAGGTGATAAGGTGGGGGGGGGGGGGGGTTACCTTGGTTGGTGATTGGCTAATGGTTAAACAAGCCAAACAATCGTTATGACATCATAAAGTGGCCAAAATCTGATCAGCTCATTTTCAGACATGTTTTTATATAAATGGATCAGGACAAAAAGAGAGAGAATCTTTGTTCCTGAAACTTTCAGAGTCTCTTTACACAGAGGGGACACATGTTGATGTAGAAAAGACATGAACAAGTGGATTTTGCATAATAGGTGACCTTTAAGAACTTGAGAGATAGTGTGTGTTTTAAACGCGTCTAAAGTGGCTTATGATATTCAGGAAGGAAGCTGTGACACAATGTATGACGCAGCTGAAGACCAGCAGCTCCCTCACTTCACCACGGTGCCTCTCCTCATGTGCAGGCGGATCCAGTGCTGGCCCTGCATGCCGTCGCTCTCCCAGAACGTCTCAGGGTCGCCGTCCGTCAGGTAGCTCGCCCCCCCGCTGGGATCCTCCTGTCAGCAAATAACAAGGTATATCTATGAGAAAATACCTTCGCCGGCTGACTCTTAATTACATATTTTTTTAACAGGGACTCAGTTAAAAGTAGTATATTATGAATAATGTCTGACAAAAATGCGTCATCATCGAGGTGAAAAGCAGACAGAAACAACCAGACCAATTTTCATATGCATTTCATATGAAATTCAAGACATACATCTCAAGAACCTACAAACTTTTGTACATTTAATACACACCACCAAAAACTCTCACCGAACATGAAGAAACATCGATGCTGGTGACGCACTGCTTCACACTGCCCAGGTTCTCATCCTCCTTCCCTATGTGGTCGTAGAAGTAGTGCACCAGGTCCTCGTCACACTCGTATGACCAGGTGGGAGGAACAAACCTTAAAGATTTGAAGGGGAAAATAAGCTTAATATGAAAATCTGTATCTGTATAATCACAAACAGGGATTCTCTGATCTGACTCAAGTCTAGGGCTGCAAAGATTTGGAAAAAAAAGAACTAACAGCGATAATTTAGGATGATTTTGCACTTGGGATATGATTCTGGGGTTGATTAATTTTTTCAGCATTAAGACATATTTTTAAATATGATTTCTTGCGTGTGTAGAATCATATTTGTAGGTTAGGATATCTTTGCAGCTCGACAATACTTAAAACATTTGACAAATATTGTGGTTCCTGCGATTTGAATATTGCAACAGTCCATACTGCGATTTGGATAAAATATTGATTAATTGTGCAGCCCTACTCAACACAAACATGCTCACCTCAGCTTCTGGACGGCAGAATCATCACACTCGGCGATCTTGGGCTTGGAGCCGATGTGCAGGGCGTTCTCCACCCCCACCACCTGCTCCCAGCGGTTGCAGGGCTTGTGGTCGTATCCGAAGAGCTGCTGCTGTCGGCTGATGGTCTCCGGAGACTCCACCGGCACCAGCCTGTCCCCCCCCTCCGTGTGTTTGCACACCAGGATCCAGCCCTCCTCCAGCTCCTGGCCCGGACGGTGCTCCTCCAGCTGCTCCTGGAGACAGACGGGGACAAGTTATGTCAACATGTGTTTTCAGACCACATAGAAAGTCATCCAAATGTAATAAACAGCTGATACAACTGTAAGAAGGGGGAACAGTTTGTTTCTGGTACATTTAAGAGTCGTAAAATGCCACTCAAGTATCTGAGTTTTATCTTTTGTAAAAGGTCCGACTCTTTGTTTGCATCTGTAAAAGAAAAATTGTTAAGATCTACATCAATGTAGTTCTTCTTGTTGTCCATTAGGGCTGAACGATTAATCGATTTTAAATCGAAATTTGAAATGATGCGATTGTCAAATCGCAAAGCCTGCAATTTTTTTTTAAACTTTCTTTTTTTGTTCTTCTTGTGTGTCATTCATCCACACCAATCAGAAGTGCTGTGCTCCACATGTACCAGCCATTGTTAACCAATCAGAAGTGGCCCATGATAGAAGGTGATAGACAGATTGATCCAATCATCTGCCAAGTATTTTTGAAAGTGCCTGCCCTTTCCAAATGGCTTCCAATGCAGCTTTCCTAGATGGTTTGGTGAAACCATCTGAGTCAGGTTAGTAATGCTCCATCACATGTTATCTATTACAGGGTGAGTCTTAAACTGAAGCTTGACTTTAAAGCAACCCAACAGAAGTTTCATGTAAGTTTAGTTCTTTCACTCGTAGCTCGGGCTGCGGGGGTGCTAGAGACGGGAGCACTTTGATACGACCTTCCTAGCCGGAGATATGGCCGCATTTTACAATAAACTTCAGTTGGGTCGCTTAAAAACAAATATCGCAAATCGAATCGCAATATCTGTCAGAAAAAAATCGCAATTAGATTATTTCCCCAAATCGTGCAGCCCTATTGACCATTTAACAAAATATATCCGAAACAGTCAAACTGCAACTCTCTCTGAATAAAGCCTTTGTTATTAACTTCACACCACATTCTAAAACTAAACAGACCCACCACTTATTTTTTAAATATATGTATTTATGTTCCTTGTTCACATTGCAAATTCTTTTTTATAATGTTGTTTTTCACAATATTGGCTCTTGTTTTCCCATTTGTATTTCTATTAATCTGTTTATGTATGAACTAAAGCAAATTCCTGGTACGTGAATCGAACTTGGGACTTCATATGATTCTGATAGACAACAAAATGATGCGTTTACAAAGATGAAAATCCTGAATATTAGTACTAAAAGACACCCATCTGTTGAAAAGTAAATTAATATAATGTAGTAGTTAAAGTAAAGTAGTTATGACAGCTCTTGAGGCAGAATTAGAATAGTTGAAGTAGATTACTGGGTGGTAGTTCAATGTTATGTCTACTTTCCTTTATAATCCTTTTCTATATATATTCGTTTTTTTACACATGTGCTTGCCTCTTTATTTAATAAGTCAGCCTACTAATAAAACACTAATACAGTAACCTGCAAGGGGGGAACTAAACGTACCTTGCTGATTTTCACCCACAGACCCTGGCTGTTGCAGAACTCCTCCCCTGTGGTCCGGATGCAGGTCCCTTTCTTTGGCTCTATGTAGTACTTGCATAGCTTCTTGATGTTTGGGGTCTGGTGTGGGCTGTCAAACACGGGCACGAGCGTCTTCCCCACCGTGGAGACTCCTCCTGAAGTTCCTCCTGTGGATGGTCCGGAGGAAGAGGAGGATGAATCCTTGCAGATCTTGTAGCAGACTTCTCTGGGAACAAAACACAGACACTGCGGCACCGCCTCGCTCCTCTTGAAGCACTCGATGCAGCGGTTCAGGAAGCGGATCCTGCCCAGCAGCAGGTGAGGGTTGTCGCCCACAGACATGATGAAGATGAGGATGAAGCTGGAGGTGACAGTCAGCAGCTCAGCAGGGGGCCCACAGCTGACATTATACCACTTTCCTGATGTTTCTGTCAAAACAAAGCCAACAACACAGAATATTCTCGTTACACAGAGCATTCAGTGAACAGCAGCCACATCCTGTAATGTAATTAGATTGTTGTCTCTCTTCCACAGGAGTATAAAGGTTATATTATCCTCTAATTAGTGACCAAAGTCCGCAAACAGGGAGAAAGTCTCGGCTCCTTATAAGAGCTAACGTTAGCATGCTAGCTAGGTAAATGTATTCTGAGACGTTAACGACAGCCGTTATCAACAACAACACGTTTATTTTAGAGTTAATGAGAGAGATGTAATGACATTAAAGACAAGGTGGTATCTAAAATTAACACTGACGTACCCTTTCTGCCGATTTATATTTATAAGTGAAACTCGTCTGTCGTTCTAATCTGACTTCTTTGGATTTCTCAACGCGGAAGAAGCGCATCAGAGACTTTTGACCCTCTGCGATTTCCGTCGTGTGTATTTCAAAATAAAAGTCTCACCGCGGATGGTGAATCATGGATGTATAAAGAGATTTGGAGGCTTTGAAAAAGGGGACAAATAAAACGGCTGCATACAGAGCGGTTGGAGTGGACCGGAAAACAATTGCAGAGACACTGCGAGAAGGGTCCAGCTGCAGCCGCAGCCAAACGGTGGAGGTTGAACCTGTAGGAAGTTGTACTTCCAAATGATGGTCAGAAGAGAGCGCGCCCAACACGTGAGACGCTGACGCAAGGATATTTAATGAGGGAGGTTACAGGGGAGGCTTTGCCCAGGGTAGATTCACTTTGCGAATCGCCAAACTTTCCTGGCAACCTCCTCTTTCGCGACCCAGTGACGTCCCACTTAAGGATGTCGTGTTTTTTCATCATCATCCGTCAGTGTCACAAGTTTAATGAAGTCAGCTTCTGTTTTCCTCAATGTAGTGTAGTTTTCCTTAAGACCCTCGATTAGATCGGTGCAATCTGTGACTGTTATAAACACAAATGTATTTGTGATGAGTAAAGGAGCAGCACTTTGCAGTATCTCATTCTGGATATCGGGGCTTGTAAGTTTCCCGTTCCCCGGCAGGTCGTCCAGTCGCCGTTTTATTTATGGGTCATAGTGAGAGATCATAATAGTCGAAAATTATAAAAGTAGGGTAGACATGTGGATATTATCCGGCTGAACAAAACGTGCATTTATCTAACAGGTTCGTTTCCCACAGATCTTATTTCGAGCTATTTTCCAAAATCCTATGGAGAAATCTCATCGCTTTTTTGTCGAGGGAACCGTTCTTAAACATGCTTTTATTGGCATGGAGTTTGTACATTAAGACCTTACATTACTACTTTAACTAAAGAAAAAATACTATTTATTTGACCCTTGCCTACAGACTGTAGTCTTTATAATGCATGCTGTTTACAATATAGAGTCTATATATCTTGTGTTTTGAAGGGAACTGCATTGTGTTTTTAGGACATGTATAGTTGGTAAAAAAACGAAAATATGTTTGATACATTTATTTTCATAAATGAGAGGGGAAGTCACACTGAATAATCACATTAATGTTTCAAATGCACACATAGTACTTTTATTATAGTATACTATTATGTGTTATTTCACAGATTGTTTCAACAATAAGAGAACATTTCTGGTTCAAAAACGCACAATGTGTTCAAGGGTCCCAATCATTTTCAGTAATTGTGTTCCACTGCAACTTTAAGCAATGACATTTCTTGTTCTTTCTGGTTGATGTTGATGATATTTTCCTCAGGAGAAGCATCCTCCTCTTCCTCCTCATGTGGGAGTGACGCCCCATCCAGCAGAGATGGAAGGCTGCAGCCGCGAAGGATTCCTTTACCTCTCAGTAGAAAACCCTCCCGACCCTCACCCTGAGAGCCCTTCAGAGGTAAATGAATCTCCAGATCCTCCGCACTCATCCTGCAAATAGCAAACATTTGAGTTTTAACGGTCCCCTATTATACTGTTTTTCATCAATATATTATAGGTCTCAGATATATACAAACATGTCTCTGAAGTGTTTGGCTCCAAACACCAAACAGATCATTGCAGCATCCCATAATCCCCTCTGTTTCAGCCCTGTTTCCAAAGTGCTGATTCTCTGTCTGTTACTTTAGATGAAAATAAGGAGCCCCTCCCCACGCCCCTCTGAGAGATATTTGGTTAAAAAGAACACAATGGTGCTCTAGGAGGAGATTCAGGTGATAGGGGGGGGGGGGGGGGGTTATCTTGGTTGCTGATTGGCTAATGGTTACGCAAGCCAAAACATCGTTATGACATCACAAAGTGGCCAAAATCTGATCAGCTCATTTTCAGACAGGTTTTTATATAAATGGATCAGGACAAAAAGAGAGAGAATCTTAGTTCCTGAAACGTTCAGAATCTCTTTCCACAGAGGGGACACATGTTGATGTAGAAGAGACATGAAAAAGTGGATTTTGACCTTTAATGTTACTGGTCTGTGCAGCAGCAACAAAAAGCATTGCAAAAGTTAAAATGAGTTGACCTCATGTCAAAGGTGGATCCTTTGAAGGCGGGTGTGAGAGTCTCTGCTGCCGTGGACAGAGTGTAAGGGACGGAGAAATGTCTCTGCTCCCAGTGCTTGTCCTTCTCGATGGGAGCCAGGTTCTGGTACATATCGTCTACAGCCAGCATGGACACCTGGAGCAGAGAGAGTGAGCGGTGAGCAGTCGATGTTGAAGAGAAACCTCAGATGCATTAGTGGATCATGAGACAATGAGCCCCTAGGCAAAGACATGCAAAAGGCCTCAAAACCCTACTTTACATTGGAGCAGGACACATATAGATTATTGTTTGGTCTCTTTTTGTTGTTGTTTTCAGTCTTTTTGTAGTCATTTGTTTCTCATTGTAGTACTTTTGAGTCTCTCCGCTGTCTTTTTGTGTCACTTTGTAGCTGTTTTGTATCTATTTTGTGGACATTGTCAGTGTTTTGGAGTTGTTGTGTTTCTGTCTGTAGTACATTTGTGTCCATTTGTTGTCTTTTAGTGTCTCTTTGTGGTCATTTATGTCTCTAGGTAGCAAACTTGAATGTCGTTGTCTTTATTCCCAGGGTGTTTGTGGTTACAGTGAGTGTCCATGGTCATTATAAGTCGCTTTTGTAGTCAATGTAATCTCTTTGTACTTGTTTAGCATGTCTCAAGTTCATTTGTATCTCTTTGTGATAATCTTGTTTTGGTAATTGGGTGCCTCTTTGTGGCCTTTTTTAGCTTTGTATTCAGTCTAAGTGGTCATTTTCTGTATCTCTGTCATTCTGTGTCTCTTTGAAGTTGTTTTGTCTCTTTGTGGTCATTTTCTGTATCTTGAGGTGACAACCTGAATGTTTCTGTCGATCAGCTGGTTGGTTTCGAAGTCGTCATCATCCTCGCCAAATGGATTGATGATCAGCTCCCCGACCTGCAGAGAGGAAACCGGTCATGAAATCCCAACAACAGATTCCTCAACAAAATTAAAACAAAAATCAGTTTACTACAAGATAAACGAGAAACACGTTACCTTGAGCCAGCCGGCGTAGAAGAAGAACTGCAGCAGAGTGAAAACAGGGACGTACAAGTCTATTTTGTGATCCTTGTATCCTTTCTCAGGGTTCAGGAATTGTCGTCCAACCACACAGAAGGCAAAAAAAGAGTAAACGGCTAAAGTGACTACCTGCGTGGATGGAAAAAAGAACAAGTCAGAGATTACATGTGGTGGTAGAAGATCGTGTAGTTGATAAATAGTAGATTAAAATGAAAAAATATAACAATTTTGGATTGATTTTGTATGAAAATTGACTAAAATGTAAGATAAAGGACATCAAATAAAGTAATAAGAAGTTTTGTCTTCTTATACTTTTGACCTCCTGATGATACCTGAGTGTAGACCAGAGGGATGCTGATCCAGTCGTAGTGGAACAGCAGGCTGCATTTTCCTCTGTACTTATTCAGCTCCTGCAGGTTTAAAAACACATCATTACATTTACAGGACGTGTTGAGACACTGGGACTTTTAAACTGCATTTCCACACATCCCTCAAGTGTGAAACGTTGAGTGGTTTTGTCCCACTCACGTCCATCAGCAGTCTCAAAGCGATGTCGTCTCTCACCCTCCCCTCCTCCCTCGCTCGGGACGCCAGGTTAGAGAACCAGGTCAGAGGCATCCAGTACTTGTTGAAGTCCGAGTGCAGAGACTCAAAATTATTCAGCTCGTGTGTCGTCATAAATCCTGTACACAGATCACAAGGTACACAGCGTACATTTTGTATTGAACATGTATGAAGGAGCAGTACAGCATAAACAAGGACACTATGTATTAGGTTTTTGGCTTTATTCAGAATTGCTATTGACTTGGATATAAATATGTCAAGCATCCTCATAAATCAACATAATTTAAATCTGGCACTTTGCCTACTTAAGAACCAGTTCAAACAGGGCAATGGAGAGATACATACTCAAAATACTGATTTAAAGAGAGAGGGATGTAAGCTTGAGACATCTGGAGATGGGAGCGGATGGATTCTTTACACAGATATGTACTTCTGATGTAATGCATATTCATGTGTCTGTATTCATGCAGAGATGTTCCACCATTTATTTCTCCCACCTGAACATCAATTGTTTTTTAAATTGTTAAAGGTTAAACATTGTTTTAGTATGTTAGGCTTTGACAGACCATTTTAAACAGTTCAATTAATCAAATTCAAGAGCATCCCTTTAGGGTTTTGTGTGACTTTGTCTCAAAATTGTTACTTTAAAATCAGCTGGGTCCTTCTTGTTAACTATAATGTTATATATTTATTAACTTACATTCTACAAGCAACACCTTCTTGTTCAAATGAATTCATAAAAACTTCAGGTTTTTCAGATAAAAATTGAAATATAATTTTATTCCATTCTATTTCTATGTAAATACTGCTATACTTTACTATTTATTATAGTTTTCTTAAAATAGTTATATATCTGTGTTTTTAATTCTTGTTTTACTTTTATGTACGCACCACGACACCAAGTCAAATTCCTCGTACGTGTCCACCTACCTGGTAATAAACCTGATGCTGATTCTAAAAGGTCCAAAGGAACAGCAGGACTTTAATACTGCACTAAATGTAACCTGTACCCTCCCCTCTTTATCCCTCACCGGCCTCCACGATGTGCTCCATGGTCGGGAACCTCTTGAGGACTCTGGTGCTGATGGAGCGCAGGATGAGGACGGAGGATAAGTTGGCGTATCTCATGAGGGTCCGTCGCAGCAGACGCCCCCTCTCGTCCGTCCCGTGCACGTTTCCAGAGACCACCATCATCAGGTTGTCAGGCAGAGGGAAGTTGGTGTACTGACCCCACCATCTGTTGAAGGCCAGGGTCACATAGAAGCCTGCACAAACAGTGAGATGCATCCAATAGACATTTTCTTTTAATTCGGCTGTTTTAATGCATGTGTTCTTTTGTTCTTTTATTCTTATTTTGGAACT